GCGCCGCCGACCCAGAAGGACGACGACGACGACGACGACCACGACGACAAAACGACAACGGCGAGATGATGACCCTGCCACAAGCTCGGGACATGGGGCTGGCGGTGGAGGGAGGAGGAGGAGGAGGAGGAGGAGGAGGAGGAGGAGGAGGAGGAGGAGGAGGAGGAGGAGGAGGAGGAGGAGGAGGAGGAGGAGGAGGGGGAGATGGAGATGGAGGAAGAAGAGGAGGAGGAGGAGGAGGAGGAGGAGGAGGAGGAGGAGGAGCCGACGTGCGCCCGCGCCGGTACCAGTTCTACTCAGCCCCGGTGGCATCCACAGCCTCCTGTTTCCCCCGACCATCCTGTCCGCCGTCCGGACGGCGTCCTCGCTCGCACCTGCAGCAGAGATTCGGGCTTACGCCCACGCGATCGGCTTTATCACGGCGCGGTTCCCCGTCTGATTCCATCTTCTTGCACGTGTGCACGTGTGCGTTTTGTGCCGTCCAGGTTGTCGCATGGGCACCCAGCGGCAGCGGGCAGGCAGCGTAATGCTGTGGTAACCACATTTCGCGCGATTCTGAACAGGACATCGAGAGCTCAGGAGCTTCATTGATCACGGCCGGCACTGCCACCCCGCTGACGGGGCAGCTGGCAGCCTCCGACACCGCCTGCCCGCGGCCAGCACGTGTGCGCTCTCGGGCAACCGGTGGTCCTTCGCACCCCTGCCAGCAGCACCGATCGCACGCCGCACAGAGCGCGAGCCAGACTGGTGGACGGATCGCGAGCTCACAGGGGGAAGGTGGCTTCGCCCTCCGCCCACGCTGCGCGGGATTGAGCCGCCTCGTGCACCGAGGGCAGCGACTGTGCAGGAAGGCTTACCTGCCCACCGCAGCTGCAGCCATTGCTCGAAGAACAAAGAAACGGCAGACAGCATAAACATGTTTTCGCGTCGCGCGGGGCGGATTTTTTGGATCGGCGTTGGGCCCCTTTGGCGGCGCCTCTGGCTTCTGGCGCCTCAACCGGCGCCGATCCAAGCCGTGCGGAGCTCCGAAAGGTTGTGTGTATGCCCCCGGCTGCTCATCGTCGAACTTCTTCGGCGTCCGGGCGTCCCTCCCCGCCCCTCCCCGCCCCCTCCCCGCCCCCTCTTTGCTCGCCGGCCAGTTCGCGAGCTAGCTTCTCGCTGGAGCGGAGTTCGCCGCCTCGCCGCCAGCGGACAAGGCGTATGCCGTTTTTCGCCCCTCCTGCTCGCAGGGCTGCGCGGCCGTCACGCCCTCGGCCCGCGTTGCCCAGCGCCTGCGCCGCTTTTTGGGGGGCCCCGCGCGCTCTCCAGCCCGACCATCGCGCTTCGGGGAGCCCGCACGGCGTCCCCGAGGACCTGCACCTCCTCGGGGTCCTCCCCAGGCGAGGCCACCGAGGAGGATCGCGCGCCACGAGGGAGAGAGAGAGAGAGAGAGACAAAAAACAACAACGACAGAGAAACACAAGTTCGACGGTCAGCAACGAGCCCAGGGGGGGCCCATCGGGGGTGAACTTTGTGTCTCCCTTGCAGGAGGGCCAGAGACCTGCCAGTGGCCGCGACAGGGCCCCCTGGGAACAAACCTCACCGTCATCGTCCTCTTCGAGCAGGTCGCCCCGCTTGTTCTGCCGCAGCTTTGCACCGAGGCTGCGGACCTCGTCTTCATTAGGACCGAACGCCTGGAGGCGATCAGCCCGGCACAGGTCGCGCCTCGCTCGACAACTCGGAGCAGCCACGCTCCGCTCTCCTCTGGGCTGGGCCTCTGGTTCGACGAACGCACCCGAGAACATCTCCCGAGCCCGAACACCTGGAGACAGCCAGGGGCCCAGCCTATGAGGGTGCTTCGGGTGCTTGCCCCTGAACGCACTCGTTGCTTCTCCTGCCAGGGCCCACGGGAGCAACTTGGGACCCCCTGGCAGGTGGACCCTAGGCCTCGGGCCCCAGGGGGAAATGGTCGCAAGCGCTCCACAAGAGGAGCAACACCACGCGGGGCCTGTTCTCCGGAGAGCACGGGGAGAGAGCAAGGGCCTCGTGCAGCCGCCGCCGTCGGCCGCGCCTCTGCCCGAACCGTGGAGGCCTGCTGCTGGCGCTCGGCGAATCTCTTGATCCGCGGCCTCTCCGTGCTCTCGGCCGCGTCGTCCGCCGAGGCCCTCCCCTGGGCTCTGCCCGCGAGCTCACCGCAGGCCGCCTTCCGCACCGCGCCGCCGCCCTCGGCGACGCGCTCCCGGTGCGGGGCCTCCGGCGGCGCAGACTGCCCGGCGCAGCACGCCGCGCCGACGCCCTCCGCTGCCACCGGCCGCCCGTGGCCGTGTTCTGGACGGCCGTTTCCGCGCTGGCGGGTGCCTTCCGGCTGCGCTCAGCCTCGAGGCCGTTGCCGCCGCGTTGGCCCTCGGGCTCTGACCGCCCGCGCGCGGGCCTCGGCGCCCGTAGGGGTGGCACACCCTGCCAGCCAGAGTCGTCCTCCTCGAACCGCTAATCTAGGTAGGAGAAGGAGGAAGAGGAGCAG